CCTGCGCCAGACCCCCTCCCCAAGTCTGTGCTGCTTCCCACAGCCCTGCCCTAGGCCTGCACCACCACCCACCCTGCTGCTTCCTCCTTCCGTCAGGGGCAGGTGCTAAATTACAGCCCTCGGTGCCTCTTCCTGTGAAAGGGCCACTTATTTCACCCTTTCACTCAATATTTATGAAGCTCCTGTACCACAAAGTATACATGAATGGTAAATGAGAGAAGATCTCAAGAAACGTACGGCCAATGAAGATTTTAAAACTTTGCAGGGACACCTGTAATACAGTTGCGTCCTCTAAGAACAGGACAGCCAGCCTACACCCCTGCCATGGTGATTTACCCTCATGCCTGTGACTTTCCTGTGTGCAGGCATTTCCCCACTGTAATTTCAACACATTCAAGCCTTTTATCTTTCCCAGAAATTCAGTCTTCTGGAGTCTTCCCCAGACACTCCCCCCAGGTTTCCAACCACTCTGTCGCTGGAAAGGGACCCGGCCCTGAGTGGGTCAGCTTTGGGCCAGCAGATGGTGTGTGGGTTCTTAACTTCGTGCAGGAGAGAGCTCACAACAGGAGTCCAGGCGATTATGAAAGTATGTTTATTAAAGCTGCAAACAGAGAAACAAAGGAAGGGCTTGCAATAGAAGAAGCAACAGGAGAACCTAGGCGGAGCTCTGCTGCGGCTCCCTAGAAACGTTGTAGGAAAGAAGTGTGCCACACAGGGCTGGGTGGACTCACTGAGAAGTAAAAGTCACGACTACAGAAATGAGCTAAGGTGGGGCTGCTGTCGGCTCACTGAAAAGTCAGAGAAAAGGGGGCGTTGGAGACAGGTTCAGGGGGTTAGCCTGAGACAAGCTGCCACTGCCCGCCGCTGGTCCCCTGTTTGCAAGTCTTGTGGGGACCCTTATTTAGGAGAAAGTTCATGCCCAAGAAACAGATGTGGGCGTGATCCAGAGAGACCCTGCACTGGGTCCTTTATTTTGAGGGTTCTTATCTGAAGGTGGGAATCCTAGGAGAGGGTGTCAGAATATTCAGCTTTCCAGGTATGCTCTTAATATGCTGATGTGCCAAAGTGAGCACATAGAGGGACTAGAGTCATTTGCTGGTCAGCTTTGCCTCTGCCTTGGATTCTTTTGGTTTTAATTTGGTTTTTTATTTATTCCCTGACTTTTATCAGTCCTTGGGTTCAGCTGGCACAGATGGCACTAATTGGGTCTCTGTTATCTGTCTCCTTGACCAGGGTGATTTAAGCTACTCACTCTGATTAGGGAAGAGAGGTGTAAACCATTTGCTCTCAAGTTTCCTTGGTCAGGGAAGATAAGATCTTGCGATTTACTAGCCGGCTATAAATTGCTCAAGTTGTTTGGCCCCATCTGTCTAACGATCTGTCTCAGTTTCTCTTTTCCTACTTGTCAGAAATTCTAACATCTAAGCATCCCGGCTCAACTCTAGTCCTCCAGTTTTCCAGAAGGAAGTTAAGTGCTTCCGTGGGCACCACCTCTAAACACAGGCATCTTACACAGGAAGGGATATTTCCGCCATGGCCTGTGGCATCCTGTTCATGTTCCTCCCACATGTGCCTTCAGCCCAGACCTCTTCAGCATCAGCTCCATTCACGTTCAGGGCTGGAACGTCCTGTTGTAGGGCTGTCCTGGGCACCGCCGAGTGTTGACAGCATCCCCAGCCTCTGTCCAGTAGATGCCAGTGGTCATCCTCTCCCCGCAGTGTGAAAACCAAGAATGTCTCTGGACATTGCCAGATGTCCCCAGGGGGCAGAGTCAGCCCTGGTTGAGCCCCCCTGGTCTGATCTGAAGCCTGCTCGGGGCGGGATCACTTCCCATTAAGCCTCTGGAGCGCTCTCACATGGTGCTGTTGGGGTTCTTTACCTTCAGTGTCTTCTACGAGTCTGATCTGCGCCAATCGCCATAGTTACGAAGGCAGTGCGCAGAGGGGTTGAGTCCAGGTCATCCTGAAAAGTGGTCTTGGTCTCTATAGTTAGGACTTGAGAACCAGTCTGTCTTTCAAACATCCACATGGAGCTAGGATGGTCTGTGTGTATACTTTTATGCTCAGCCATAAAATAAGTCACTCCGTTGAGGATTCGTTATCATCTCTCTCACTTCAGTACCATCAAGAGGACCAGCTCTTCCGAACGAGTGTCTCCTGGCAGCCGACGGGAAAGCTACGGGGACTCCAAAGGCAACCGGAACCGCACAGGCTCCACCAGCAGCTCCTCCAGCGGCAAAAAGAACAGCGAAAGGTACAGGGTGCCGGGCCCGCTGGTTCCCGCTGGTCGTTTCCCCAGAGATAAGTCAGAGACCCCCCCGAACACGCAGACGAGCCAGGGCTCTCGCGGGCGGGCGCCGATCAGACACCAGCTGGGCGGCGACTGTCCAGGCGCGAAGTCCCAGCGGAGCTGCCGGCACCGTGGGCAGCCGGGAGCCCCCGAGACCTCGCTGGGCACCGCCGCGGGCTGGCAGCTCTGTCTCTAGCGCCCGCTGCCGCCTGAAAGTTAGTGAATCGTTTAAGTTTGTGAGCAGCATTTTCTCAGGGTGGGCGAGAAGTTGTACCGTTAGGATCGTCGGAAACCATTTTCAATACTGAGCTAGCGCCAGAAACAGGAACCTTCCTTTACTCCTGATTTTGAATTTGTCTTCGGGGTTCGTGTGTGATGAGTTGCGGCCAGTGTCTACGAAACTAACACACATTTTGTGCGTGAGAGCTACTTTGGGGCGCTTTGGTGGCTTTTTGTGTTTGGGAGCGTGTTGTGCAGATGGGGCTGGTTTCTCCGTGTGGACCTGCCTGATGCACTGTATTCTGTCTATTTAAACATTGTGCGTTCATTTTTCTCTCTACAAGCGAGGCTCAGGGAGGAATTCCAGCTTCACAGGCTAAACTCTCGTTTCCCCCCAAGTACTCACGTAAGGAAAAGGCTTAGTCATGAAGCAGCAGCTCCAGCCCACGTCTGTAAAAATTCCAACCCTTCAAGCCCGCTGTGCCTCGGCCCTGCGCAGGCCGCTCAGCTGCGCCTTCAGCTCCGCTCCTGAGCGACGTCCCTCGGAGAAGAGAGGGGAGCGCTTCCCAGCTGGTCGAGTTCCCAGCTGAGTAACCGGCCCTCAAAACCCCTGACGGGGTTCTGTCTTCTAATGAAGACAATTAATGCTTCTGATCAGGAGATTATGCTAATTAGGTGGTAATACCCCGGAAACCAGGCCAAGCGGTTACAGTGGCGGCCGAGGGGAGTCGGGGGGCACGCGGCGTGGCCTGCGGGCGCCCCTGAGCTCGGGACGAGCTTGCGAGTTGCCCTGAGAGGTTGAGATCTCAGCAGCTGTTGGAAGCTTGGCCCCTTCTCGGCGCATCTGCGTTTCATTAAGACTTTCCAAAGGAATCCGCATTGTGCAAGCCCCGGATCGGTTTTATCTCCTAGGCCCTATGGCTTTGTCGAATATGGCTAAGTATTTCCCTGAGAGATCTTCACGAAGGGGGTGTTTTGTTTTTTTTTTAAATAAATCCCGCAGTAGGAAATTCTGATTTGGGAATGAGAGCCTGAGTAAGTTTACTAAACATTTTCTCGGAATCAAGCAAGCAACTGAATGTGTCCATTTAAAAATAAATACTCTGTCCCGTCAGAACCTCTGCCCCACACGGGTCTCCCTCCGTAACAGCTGCCACGACAGGGATGCCCATTCTCTCGGTGCCAAGCGCCGCCCTGGGTTTTTCTACCATTTCTTATCGACTTACAAGATTCAAGGGCGTTAGATATAAAATACCTCACTCACAGAGCAAAACACTGAGGCTTGGAGACGCGAAGTGGCAGAGCTGATTTACACACCCAGACCTTCCTCTTCCCCCAGGGCCTGTGCTCTTTCCATTGTTTCTTGCTGCCTGTTTCTGAAACAGGGACAAATCCCAGAAACGTGGACAAATAAATATCAGTGAGTGACGGGGAGAGGAGACCACAAAATCTAAAAGTGGTCAGATGGAAGCTAAGTACTGTAGACCTCAGGGTCCTCACAGTCACTAATGTCACATCAGAACGAGCTAGTCTGTGTTCAGTGAGATGCATCAAACAAAAAGACAAATGCTGTGGGATTTTACTTACATGTGGAATCTAAAAAAACAAAGCAACAAATGAGTAAGCGAAGCAAAACAGACCCAGAGAGAAAACAAGCTGCTGGTTTGGGGGGG